GGGAGGCATGCAGGCCGAAGCCAGGTGAGGCATCGGTGAAGGTGTCCGGCAGAGACCCTGCAGCAGACAGGTCAGATGAAGCGGGAGAGATGGGTGGGCTGGAGCTCGTGCTGCCGAAGTGGTAGAAGCCTGATGGGGAGGACTGGTAACTGGGCAAGGTATTGGGTGTGACAGGAAAGGTGACAGTTGTGATGTCCCCGAAGTTGGGCACAGGGTTGCCAGCACAATCCTGGAAGGGTCGAAGCCGGTCCACCAGTGCTGTCTTGGTGCCCGACACTGGCAAGCCTCGTATTCGAAGCTGTTGTCTTAATTCTGACACCTAAAGGAACAAGGGTCCCATTAGAACAGTGTCGGGTGAAGTGTGCTCACACTGTATTTGTGTTTGTATTTAGGGAGCTTTGGAATATGGGACACACACTTGGGAACTTTACAATATTTACCCATGTCTCTTTTAATGCTTCTTTGTAACATGTCTCCTGCCTCCTATTTAAACCGATTTTATGGGATTTTAACAAATCTTCCTAAAACTTTGTTTCCTAATAAGTCCATCCTAATGTGAAAACATCATTAATTCAAAAACACAAGGAATACACCTAGCTTCTGGAACAAACCAGCTGAGCGGCAAGGCCTGCAAGTAGCATCAGCCATTCCCATGACCACCGACAAGACTGGGCCCAGAGGCCACTCCTGATGCCCAACAGAAAAGACTGACTAGCCCAAGTGTCAAACACCAGTTCAAGTTTGATGTGTACAGATTGCATATCATTTTACACCATGGTAATGAAAAGATAAACCACTGTAGTGAAGACCACATCTACCCTTAATCCAATGGTAAAATCACCTAACCCACAGCTCTCCAACCCCATCTCAGCCTGGGTCAGTTCTGTGGAAAACTGGTGTCTGCCTGGCCTTAGACACAAGTCTAACAGCAAGCCGTGACAATTGTCAGCAATTCTGGATTCTTCTGCCATATGCACTTTCTCAAATCTAAACATGTACCAGTTCACTGCAGAGCTTGATAGACATCATAGGTCGTGGCTGGGGACCAGGATTTTCCACGTATAACAATCCCAGGAGGACATATATGCCTCTGGTCTTGGACCAGACTTTTAGAACAAGACTTTATGTGAACATCATTGAGGGGGAGTTAGGGAGTGGGTAGATTGTGCATGTGTATATGTGACTATCCATAGACACAAATGTATGTTTGTTCAAGAGATGGAACCCAGGGTCTTGCACAAGGTAGACAAGTTGTTACTCTCCACCTCCTCAGTTTGTGTTTTGTCTTCATTTTGTCTGGCTGGCCTCTGACTCTTAATCTTCTGGCCCCATCTCCTCAGTGTTGGGATTACAGACATACCTCACCATGCCCAGCTATATGTTGGGTCTATTTTCACTTTCCAGACTGCCTGGATAGCAATTGCATATTGAAGAAAGCACATGACGATAAAAACTAGGCCCTTCCTGTTCCTAGCTTCTTGATCCTCTGTGCTTTCTCTTTGAAGTGGGATATTAATTCCTGCTTTATACATTTTTGCAAGGTCATACATGGATTTATAAAAGCACTTGGATGAGTGCCTGGAAAATGGTTGTGCAATATAATGCCATTATTATTATATTGATACACATGTAGCTAATTAATTTCTACATTCTTATGAAGTTCACCAGTTGTAAACTATGAAATATATACAGGCATGGGAACTGGTTAAATAAAAATTACTGCAAATGATGGGGTACCAAAGATCCACTAAGATTAAAGCTATGAAAGTTTGTTGACACTGGGAGATGGATAATTGTTTATGGTTCATTATTAACTGAAAGAAAGTTTGAGTTCATACTATTTTGAATAAATTAAATAACACGTATACATTTAAATTTATGTTTGCTTATAAAGTTATGTAGATGAACTTCTGCTAAAATGTTAGCTAGTGTTCTCTCACTGAATCTTCTAAATAGTCCATCACATTTCTAAATAGACACATCATTTTCCAGAGTAATGCAGGAAACACATTAAACACCTAAGGTCCAATGATTCTGTAAACCAGAAAAATACACAGGGAAAGCTTTCCTGTAGGGACAGAATTTTTGAGCATAAAAGCCAATGAAGTAATTATAAAAATATCCACAATCAAAATTTAAACTTTGGTAAATTAAAAAGGCATACACAAAATGCAAATTCAGATAGCAATTCTTGGAAAAAAAAAATCAGTGGCAACATAAACAATTAAGTTGCCCAAATGAGGACACATCAAATGTTCTTACCATCATAAAAGAAAAAGGGGGGATAGAGAAGTGGCTTAACAGTTTAGAGCCCTTGTTGCTCTAACAAAACAAAACAAAACAAAACAAAACAAAACAAAACAAAAAAAACAATTCTATCCCAGCACCCACATGGTGTTTCACAGCCATCTGTAATTCCAGTTCCTGGGGATCTGACACCCTCTTCTGATCTCTGTGTACACTTAGCATGCACACGGTACACAGACATGTGGGCAAAACATTGATACATATGAAATAAGCAAATGAACAAAAATTAACAAAAAGAAAAAAGGCTGAGACCTAATATAAAAGTAGGTAAGGCC